AAAAGCCCCCCCCCCCCCAACGCATTCTTGCTTGCACTCTCAATTCATCTGACATCCTGAGGAACTGAAGAAAAAAAAATTATCACGTGGGTTTTTTTGTGTGTTTGTTTTGTTTTTTTTACACACACAAAATGGTGCAAAGCCTCCTGCTGATCAAGCTCTGCGAAGGAAGCATCAGTGGTGACTATACTCCCTAACTGCTGTCATTTTTTCTGTCTCTGGTGAACACAACTTGACAAATACTGTTTTTTAAACAAAGGCATTGACTTCCCAATCAAAACAGACATCATTTTAATTTCTTTTTAAGGTAATGCAAATGCTGGAAACAGGACAGAAGAAGTCATCTTATCAATCATAACAAAAGGAACATTTGATAAACTCAAGAGGAATCCTGGTCCCTTGGAGAATAAAGATCCATTTCATTCAGGGGAAAGGGGAAAATGAGAAAGCATGAGCACATGCACCAGTTGGTTCCCCCACATCTCTGCTGGAAATAGGAATAAAGTCAGACCTTGCAATATCCCTGAAATCTCAAAACAGGTCTAACCTTAGAAATGTTTGCCCATGTAGTACTACAAGTCAAAATGTCACCAAATACTAAACCGCTATGCCAGCAAAAACCTATTATTGTAGTTCTAGACAAGTACTTTGCCTTTGTAACCACATAACTTGTTGAAACAATACAAGCTACACTGGCAAAACAATATTCCTGCCAGTTTAAGCTTCATCCAGACAAGGATGGTTTTGCTGGTAGACCTATACTAGCAAAACTACAGTGTGGGCTTTCTTCTAACCATTCTGTTTAGGAGATAAGGGGAAAAGGCAACAGGAAGTCAGGCTCTAAGTATAATCCCCATGAGTTCTCTACTGTCAAGGAGGGAGAAAAGGTATCTGACAGTGTCAGCGCAGCATGTATAGCTAATAAATTGATGTTGTGACTCACTGTCAGTGAGTCATAATGGAGGCAATTCTCTGAATTTAGACTAGTAACATTGTAGGACTGGTACAACTTGAGCCCACTGCTTCTTTTAACTCCCTTCAATAAGAATAATAATGTCTTTTAGATTCTGTCTCCATGCAAGACTGCACAAACAGTTAAATGATTCTCAGTCCCTGGTCCTTTGAACATGTTCACGACAAAATGTATTCTAGCTCTATATTTGAAGCATTAAGTGTTTAATAATTCAATTTTAAAGTGGGGCCCTTAATTTCTGGTAAAAACCAAGATGCACAGACTTGAGACACTTTAACAACAGATTAAGCCTTTGTATTTTTCCCCACCAGTATGACAAATACATTTTGTGCTGCAACAGTAATGTTTGCTGAAGCTGGAAAACAAGTTCCAGATAACCCTTTCAGAAGAGGGAGTGTGCAACACACACACACCACCCCCCATCCCCACCCACAGGGGTGGATCCACAGGGGGTGCAGCAGCAGCCACACCCCGCTTTGCCTGCGTTTCATGTAAACTCATAGCATGGAATCTGCCTGGCCAGGACTAGCCTCAACCAGCTAATGATCTCAGAGCTCACTACTCATGAGCACCCAAAATGGGGAGTACACCCCCTTGCCCTGTTCCTGGATCTGGTAATGTACACCAGTGATTCTCAACCAGGGTGTCATGAGATACTTTTAAGAGGTGCCTCAGGATGCTACGCAATGTCAGCACTGTTAGGTGCGCCAACACCTATACATGATTCACAAAATAAAACCAGAAATTTCAGTAGGAATCCATAGTGTCAAATGTTCTGATCTCTTGCAGTCTTTCTGAGTTCTTTGGAAAAGAAAAGCTGCTCTATTTTTCTGTAGTAAAAGAGCAAAAGCTAAAAGCTGATATTTTCCAAAGGATGCACTGAATCTAACAAGAGGCACGTTGAGTCTGAAAAGCTGAGAACCACTGACCTATGCTGTATGGTTAACACAGGCCTTTACTTGAGTTTTAGCCTCATACCCCCCTGCCAGCCACATTTAAGACCAAGCCAGATTACCCAACTGTCAATGTAGCATAGAGCCAAGGCTCTGCTTTCACTCAAACTAGAACCCATTCACTTCGCTATGGAGAGAGACTAGATCGCTCAAGTGCTAGTGCCAATATCCTTCTCACAACTTATGGGAGATTTAAGCAAGAGGTCTAACCCAGGTTATCTGCTGGCTGGTCTTCCCCACAAAGTTAATTTTAGTTGCTACTCGAATACTACCCCTATTTGAGTTCTCTTCAGGCACAAAATCCTTAATTCTTGATAGCTGATCTTTCATAGAGTACAAGTTAAAGCCCAAGTTAAAATAACTCCTCATATGCCAATGTGACCTCTCTATTGCTAGCAACACAAGTACCACTACATCTTCAGTGCCTTTCAGTAATTTCTAATATTCCCCACATGGAGGAGCAGCTCCACCTATCATAACATAAATAACTGCAAGTGTTAAATCCCACGCAAGTAAGCACAGTGTCACTCTGGACACAACAGCTCCAGCATTCCTATATCACTCAAGCTAGGCTAGTTAAAAAATATATATAACAGCCATCAGCCATTGTAAAAAGCTTTTCTTCCTCTGATTCTTCTTCTGGATCATCTTCCATAAAGGGGAGAATTAAACTATTTAACCAATGGTTTTTTTCTTCAGTAAACTGTTGGGGAGAGGTAGTGAGGGGATTTAATAAAAACATACCCAAGCTAGACAAAGGAGGAGTCTGTCCCCGCTGCAACTCTCTACCCTCCTCCACTCTTCTGTAGTCAGAGAAGAACTGCATTCCTG